GGCTCTCCCTATCTGTGGCTTGGTCTCCTGTGCACCGTCCTTTTTAACCTCATGCTCTCCGGAATCTGCATAATTTCTCACTCTCTCTGGATGTCTTGCTCCGAGTCTTGTTAGCTCTTCTTGACTCTCTCTCTGGTTCTCTGTTGCTCTCTCTCACTGGTCGCCTTGATGCAGGTTGTGTCCGCTTAACCTGTTTACCATCGCTCAATATAACAGCCCCGCTGTTTGATCGTCGGCCTCTGCGTCGACCTAATAAGGTCAGTAATATGGAGTGTGAGCAACACCAAAAGCCCTTTTGAAGCTCAGGCAGTCGTACTGTGTTCCATATATTATTTTATGACGGAAAATCTTATGAGACGTCATTCAAGGAGGATTTTTGTATAAATTACTCATACTTCAATGCAGAATTTTGTAACACTAGAAATTAGGAAGTTGGCATTATTCATAGGGATGTGTGCTGCTAAAGTATACCTTACCTCATAGGGATAGGACAGGCTCTATTTTGTTCTGTGTCAGATATGACGAGCTCTATTTTGTCTCTATTATGAGAGAGAAGGGGGGGGGGTCAACATAAGAGAGGGGGGCAACATGAGAGAGGGAGTCAACATGAGAGAGAGTGGGTCAACATGAGAGGGGGTCATCATGAGAGGGGGTTCAACATGAGAGGGAAGGGGGTCAACATGAGAGAGAAGGGGTTCAACATGAGAGGGAAGGGGGGTCAACATGAGAGAGAAGGGGTTCAACATGAGAGGGAAGGGGGTCAACATGAGAGAGAAGGGAGTCAACATGAGAGAGAAGGGGGTCAACATGAGAGGGAGGGGGTCAACATGAGAGGGAAGGGGGTCAACATGAAAGGGAGGGAACATGAGAGGGAAGGGAGTCAACATGAGAGGGAAGGGGGTCAACATGAGAGGGAAGGGGGTCAACATGAGAGGGAAGGGGGTCAACATGAGAGAGAGGGAGGTCAACATGAAAGGGAAGGGGGTCAACATGAGAGGGAAGGGGGTCAACATGAGAGGGAAGGGGGTCAACATGAGAGGGGGGGTCAACATGAGAGAGAAGGGGGTCAACATGAGAGGGAAGGGGGTCAACATGAGAGAGAAGGGAGTCAACATGAGAGGGAAGGGGGTCAACATGAGAGGGAAGGGGGTCAACATGAGAGGGAAGGGGGTCAACATGAGAGAGAAGGGGGTCAACATGAGAGGGAAGGGGGTCAACATGAGAGAGAGGGAGGTCAACATGAAAGGGAAGGGGATCAACATGAGAGGGAAGGGGGTCAACATGAGAGAAGGGGGTCAACATGAGAGAGAAGGGGGTCAACATGAGAGGGAAGGGGGTCAACATGAGAGAGAAGGGGGTCAACATGAGAGGGAAGGGGGTCAACATGAGAGAGAAGGGGGTCAACATGAGAGAGAAGGGGGTCAACATGAGAGAGAGGGAGGTCAACATGAAAGATGGGGGGTGAACACGTCCATCAACCAACACTTCCATCAACCACCACCTCCATCAACCACCACTTCCATCAACCACCACCTCCATCAACCACCACTTCCATCAACCACCACCTCCATCAACCACCTCCTCTTCCTACCCTCCTCCTTCCTCCTCGACCTCCACCTCCTTTCTTTCTCGGCCTCCTCCTCCTCCTCCTCCTCCTCCTTGACCTCCTCCTCGACCTCCTTTTTGTGCCTTCCGTATTTTTTTTTTTGCGGTACCGTGCACAGGGGTGAAGAGTAAGCTAGCCGCCTCCGCCGGCCAACCCAAGCCCAGCCATCACCAACGCCCCTACACCACCCAACCCATCCACCCCTACCCAACCCAGCCATCACATCACTGCCACCAACCATGTCTTCTGTTCTCAAGTAAAAAGGAATAAAATCGTTGATGGAGATGAAAAAACTTTTGATCCGTGACGGACGCAACAGTTAAAAAGAACCTGAAAAGGGAGGATTTCGGCCGATTGAACCCGAGGAAAGCGCCAATTTGGAGAGCAAGAATATGAATACAAAAGCGGATATCTATTGACCCTGGTGTCTTATTCTTACTAGGAGGGAGGAGAGCACAGAGAAATGCCACTCTCTGGAGTTTTGGCAAGGTGGACGTGCAGTACATCTATTGTGTATATTTTGAATCGAACTCATGACATTAAAGAACACAACACATTCGAGGAAATCTTTTGAGTTCCCACCAATGCAGGTACATATTCTCTTATTCTGTTGCTATTCCCCATTTTTGTGCTTTATGTAACATAATGAAAGATTACATGTCGAGTATTGCAATATGTTATCAAAGGCTGTGAATCTATTCTAACTCCTCGGACTCAAGTCAGGAACCTTGGATACAGCAGGCGATTGCCGTCTCGATTGCCACACTGAGGCGCCGAACCTGGAACTGGCAGTCTTCGAATCTCTTATAGTGACGATGATCTTAGAACCCAGTTCTTCGAGAAAGGTCTTGGTACACATGTTGCTTTTGTGGTGCTTTAAGCTTGGAAACGTGTTGAGTCAGGAAGTGCTTAGCAGCCCCCACTCATGCCAACTTGTTCATACAATATACTCGTATTTTAGTTAGAAAACTTAAGGCTCACATTCGTGCATTATGGTTTCCTCCTTTGTAAGGATTTGAAGTCTTACTGTTAGCTATAGTTTTTTTTAAGTGCGTAATGTCACTTAAAAATTCCTCTTCCTTGACGACATTGTTCCATCTATGATCATATGTTTTTGAACAAATCCACAAGGACCGTGACGAGGATCCTCGTCACGGCCCTTGTGGATTTGTTCATTTGATGCATCACGTTGGTGTGATCTCTGTGTGTAATCATATGTTTTTGTTCTTAACCTTAATGTTATTATCTATGAACCTTTATTTCCCGGTGTTGATTCTCCGTGTGTCAGTCACCACACCCTTTACTCGTGTGTGTTGATATTACCACCTTATGTCTCAAGCGTCACCATCCTGCTCCCTCAACATTCTCTTAAGCACAACGCAAACAATAGTTATCCATCTTTTTTATTAGCTGAAGCCTCTTGTCTCTCGTTTCTTCTTAGTATTTTTAAACCTAAACCCTGCTGTTTAACTTGCCCCTTAATCCTCCGCCCCAGTCTCGCCTTCCACCGTCTCGTCTGAAATTCCAATTGTCGTATGCAAATGAGCAAAGATAGGTTGTAGATTACTTTCTTTAGTTTTTCATTTCCCATGTAATTTGAAATTTAGACAAAGGCCATGCAAAATATATCCTTCCAAAAAGCAGTGATAGCACGGAATGAAAGTTAAGAAAGCAGCCACTTTAATGAAAGTCTGACATTATTATTCAGCCCAGCTGTAGGACCTCCTTCATCTGAATTGTAGATACCAAGCTAGGTCTGCCTCAGACAGGTTGTTTATGAGAGGAAAGCCAGAGTTAAGAACCACCGTCACTGTTGTAGGGAGCGTCGTCCGCATCATGTGTTGTTGCTTGCGCTCAGCAGAGCACAGCTGTGTTTAGTAAACATGGAATTTCATAAGAACGTAAGATGAATGATTGCTTGCCTCTTTTCAAACGTAGATTCGATTATGACAAGCTGTTTTCTGAGCTGTACACTGAGCTGTTTTCAGTGATTCCCACCGAGGCCCCTTTCCTTTTCTCATCTAGAGGTTTCAGGGCAGCGTTATCAATACATTAATTCTGATCCATATTGTTGTGTCTCACACGCAAGGTTTGTATTTTCATTCATGTAATAGTATTTATCAACTTTCGACCATTCATGAAGCTTGTCTAATTCAGACAGCGTTATGTTCGTTCCGCTTCTCACTTTCCGTAAATATTTGTATCAGCTAATAACTGACTTAAGGTGCTTGTGGGGTTGATATCAATGTCACGCTGCAGATTATGAATGGGATTAGCTCTAAATTTGATGCTTATTTAACTTCGCTCATATTATTTTACTGGATCCACTCCACATAGGATGACTGTTCTGTGCTAGCCCTATTGTTTATCCATTGGAGTAGTGTTCCAGTTCTTCAGTGTGCTTTACCGTCCGCACCGCATCAATGAGCACGTAACAAACCTGTTGCAATAAATATAACTTTGCTTTCATTCTGTTGAAAACTTGTAGCAGCTTTTGTGAAGGCAGATCTATAATAAATTAATGTCTATTCTCCTCAGATGAAGAGGCTCTTGAAAGCATTAATCTTACTTATAGACTGCTATATTACGGACATATAAATTTATAAGTGTGTAATAATTTAGTAGGTTATTCGCGCCAAGAACTTCCCCTCGAGTCGCGAACAAGATAAAATGACCTCGAAATGCATTTTAACCCTAAATCAGATGCTAGTTATTTAAAGTGCCTTCGTTAAATAATATATATAAAGATACAGAAAGCCTGAGAATTGATGCTCATTCTGAGAAAATAGGTCATATAATTATCCTAGGTAGGTAAATGTGGCAACGAGTCCTCACAACAGATCAGTTGTGCGCTAGGGTCACAAGCGTACAAACTGAACGTTTTTAATATAAAATCATTGGACTTTAATGTGTTTTGGGGGCTAACGAGAATCTGGGATCTTAAATAAGTTGTGTTATAAGTTCGTTAGCTTTGTTGGCTAGAACATTTATATTGTACGTTGACCAGACCACACACTAGAAGGTGAAGGGACGACGACGTTTTGGTCCGTCCTGGACCATTCTCAAGTCCATTCTCACAATCGACTTGAGAATGGTCCAGGACGGACCGAAACGTCGTCGTCCCTTCACCTTCTAGTGTGGTCTGGTCAACATACTTCAGCCATGTTATTGTGACTCATTGCCTGCATATGTATATTGTACGTCTGGAAAATGATGAAGATTGAATGACAAGTTCTGTGTCGCGTAGACTGAATGTCAGACGAGTCGGGTAAATGCCTTACATTTATAATTTCCGTTGTTTAATATAGATTAAGGGAGGACAGGTAGAAGGAAAAGAAGAGAGGGAGGGAAGATCCATGGCCTGATAAAGATGAAAATGGGTACCGAAATTAGATTACCGTGAAGGAAGAATTACGATCCACGTTTTTATATCGGCAGAGAAGTACGGCATGTAACTTGGTGTTGGGGATGAGCATGGGGTAACAGTGATGGGGATGAACATGGGGTAACAGTGATGGGGATGAGCATGGGGTAACAGAGATGAGGATGAGCATGGGGTAACAGAGATGAGGATGAGCATGGGGTAACAGTGATGGGGATGAGCATGGGGTAACAGTGATGGGGATGAGCATGGGGTAACAGAGATGAGGATGAGCATGGGGTAACAGAGATGAGGATGAGCATGGGGTAACAGTGATGGGGATGAGCATGGGGTAACAGTGATGGGGATGAACATGGGGTAACAGTGATGGGGATGAGCATGGGGTAACAGTGATAGGGATGAGCATGGGGTAACAGTGATGGGGATGAGCATGGGGTAACAGTGATGGGGATGAGCATGGGGTAACAGTGATGGGGATGAACATGGGGTAACAGTGATGGGGATGAGCATGGGGTAACAGTGATAGGGATGAGCATGGGGTAACAGTGATGGGGATGAACATGGGGTAACAGTGATGGGGATGAGCATGGGGTAACAGAGATGAGGATGAGCATGGGGTAACAGAGATGAGGATGAGCATGGGGTAACAGTGATGGGGATGAGCATGGGGTAACAGTGATGGGGATGAACATGGGGTAACAGTGATGGGGATGAGCATGGGGTAACAGAGATGAGGATGAGCATGGGGTAACAGAGATGAGGATGAGCATGGGGTAACAGTGATGGGGATGAGCATGGGGTAACAGTGATGGGGATGAACATGGGGTAACAGTGATGGGGATGAGCATGGGGTAACAGTGATAGGGATGAGCATGGGGTAACAGTGATGGGGATGAGCATGGGGTAACAGTGATGGGGATGAGCATGGGGTAACAGTGATGGGGATGAACATGGGGTAACAGTGATGGGGATGAGCATGGGGTAACAGTGATAGGGATGAGCATGGGGTAACAGTGATGGGGATGAGCATGGGGTAACAGTGATGGGGATGAGCATGGGGTAACAGTGATGGGGATGAGCATGGGGTAACAGTGATGGGGATGAGCATGGGGTAACAGTGATGGGGATGAGCATGGGGTAACAGTGATGGGGATGAGCATGGGGTAACAGTGATGGGGATGAGCATGGGGTAACGGGAGCCGCGGGAAAGGGTTGAGTGATGTTGGTCTACAGAAAGGACAAATCCTTGGCAGATTTGCAAGTTCCTGTTTTTTTCTTGGGGTTCTCTTACCTTTTGGATCCTTACGCACACGCGGGTGCGTGTCTGAATTCATGTGCGTATGTATTTCACAAAAAAGTTTCTTAGTGCCTTTTTGATTCTCAACAATATAAATTAATTATCACAAAACCTAATTTTAATCATTTTTAATTGTATCGCGCCATAGTGTCACGTAAGACTGACGAAACTGTCATTCAAGAGTTTCGTGACTGTAGACGTCAGGTTTGGTTCCACTGAGTGATATCCACTTTCCTGGGAGCCAGTTGTAGTTAATGACGCGTCTGGTAGTGTGAGCGTGTTGTATATCACCGGTATTGTGGTATCTGTCATTCCCTTGCACTAGTGAGTAGTGTTCATCTCTTAGCCTGTGTAGTTACCTGATAACTAGCTTAGTGTGGAGGACGTAGTCTCTATTTATTAGCTAGTTCGGGTCCCCTTGTAAGACCCTGAGTGGGGTAGAGGGCTGATCTCTTTCTAGTACATAGTTTTGTGAGATTATTATTATTATTGACGAGGTTAGATATTATGAGTTGGGCGAATGTTGTAGGTGTGCTTCGATAGTGTGGATGTTATGAATATTGTAGGTTGTTGTTTATATTGTAGGTATCACGAATATCACAGGTTGCAGTGGATATTGTTGGTGTGACGGGTTTTGCGTGTTGTTGAAATGGTGATTGTTGTGGATGATAATAATGTTGTATGTAATGTGCATCAATTAAATATTTTTTTATTATTGTTGGTATTGTAACATGAAAGACACTGGATGTTATGGATATTGAAGAAACGGTAAGTGAGTGCGTGCGAAATGTACTAAATACTTCAGATACTGTAGACGGAGTGAGCATTATAAATCTTGGCTACGACATTGTGAGGTGTTGAGTTTGGATACGTCTAAAGCCTCTCTAGGAGGCAAAATATTATTGTTCAACGTATTTAAAGTCCTTTTTCGTGTAGTGCCTTTGACTATTGTCATTCAGCTTCGATTTGGCTAAAGGTTCGAACATGTCAGAAAATGGTCAATTACAGCTTCAACTTCTACACTTTCTGTTGTACTTTTCGCTGCTACTGCCAATATGAAATGTTTTTGACTTTCATCCGTACACGTGCTGACCTCGCTGCGTGTCTGGCATAATTAGTCTGCCAATGTTAACCTAAACTTTTGTGGTCACTTTGTTGTGCCACCTGGCCAGAAACACTGCATAATAATTTAATATTTACATGCTGATCAGGCGTAACCCCATTAAAGTGGTAAAGTTTGGCCCTACCTATTACTAAAAAACATTATAGATAATCTTCTCTGACGAACTTTCAGGTTTCTCGTTCTTTGTGACATATATGAGGAGCTAACAAAAGTATTTTAATTGTTTTAATAGTTTGTATACGACACTCACCTAAAGAATCAAACATTTTAGAACTTTTTAATTATTAGTGATTGTTAGTGATTCCTAAGTGTAAAGAAACCAGTGAATTTCACAAGTTTAGGTTGTGTTATTGGAAAGGGGGGGGGGGGGGACGGGTTAGGTTGTGTTATTGGGGGAGCAGTTTAGGTTGTTATTAGACAGCCAGTTAAGTTTTGTCGCAGATGTGGGATGAATGCTAAGACTGGACAGACAGATAAGTCCCTTTCTGCTGATACCTCTGCATATGTCGACGTGGTCAACACGTACTGGCATATGTATGGTTGTTAAAGATAGTAAAACAAGGGGTCCCATAACATTTAAAACATAAGTGTACTCAGTAAGCCGAAATATTATTTCACGCCTTCAGTTACATCAGAGGCAACAGTATTGTCCGTCATGCGTGTTGCATTATATAAAACGCGAGCATCTCCTTGCTGTTTCCGCTAGATGTAAATCTGGCATTTTCCATTTCTTTACGCTCGAGTAATATAAATGCAACGCCAACATTTATTCTCGCTTCCAGTGACGCAGACCAACCCATCCGCAGGCTATGCTCGTCCAAGCTGCGGCCGTCCCCAACCCATCCGCAGGCTATGCTCGTCCAAGCTGCGGCCGACCCCAAAGGCTCATTCGGGATTTTTCCTTTACCTTGAAAAACCCTGTTTTTCAAATTTATATAAATATATGTTATAATTTTGTGTATAGTTACACTTAAAGTAAATTTGTTAGTTTTGGAAATTAGATTATTTGTAATTTGCAGCAGAAAAATTGTTTATATTTCTAGTATAATATCAATACTTGGAAATGTATTTGCAGTGAAGCCAACTCCGAGTAATTCAGTCATAAATTACTGTAGTGAGGTTACTGTTACTGCCATACGGGACAGTGAGAATACTGCTCATATTCACTGCCACACAGAACAATGAGGATGCTGCTCATATTCACTGCCACACAGAACAGTGAGAATGCTGCTCATATTCACTGCCACACAGAACAGTGAGTATGCAGCTCACATTCACTGCCACCCAGGACAGTGAGTATGCAGGTCACATTCACTGCCACCCAGGACAGTGAGTATGCAGCTCACATTCACTGCCACCCAGGACAGTGAGTATGCAGCTCACATTCACTGCCACCCAGGACAGTGAGTATGCAGCTCACATTCACTGCCACCCAGGACAGTGAGTATGCAGCTCACATTCACTGCCACCCAGAACAGTGAGTATGCAGCTCACATTCACTGCCACCCAGGACAGTGAGTATGCAGCTCACATTCACTGCCACCCAGGACAGTGAGTATGCAGCTCACATTCACTGCCACCCAGGACAGTGAGTATGCAGCTCACATTCACTGCCACCCAGAACAGTGAGTATGCAGCTCACATTCACTGCCACCCAGGACAGTGAGTATGCAGCTCACATTCACTGCCACCCAGGACAGTGAGTATGCAGCTCACATTCACTGCCACCCAGGACAGTGAGCATTAACGGTATATATAATTTCCACTTCATCTCATATAAATAACAGTTAAAATTATAACATAAGATTAAACACAACATACCAATATGAAGTTCTTCACATCACCATATTCCTAAAATTTATTGGAATGATTCTGGAAAGAAAAGAACTTCGTTACAAGCTGACCTTAGCAGCAGGTTGAAGTTCTTTACTAAGACTGACGCTTCCATTGGGCTTAATGCAAGTTCAGAAAACTTAAGAATAGCTTCTTTATCCGGTAAATTATCGCCGGTGTTAAGACTGAGTTTTAATTATAAACTTAATTATATCTGAAAATGAACCTAAAATAGATATGCTTTAGCATTGAATAAGGTCGATGTGGTCAATACGATGTGGTCGTATGTGGTCGATGTGGTCGATGTGGATATTATTATTATTATAATTATTATTATTATTATTGTTGTTGAAATGTTACTACAATGCCGTAGTGCTTGAATGAAGGTGAAGGAAAGACACAATATATGTGTATGTGTATTAAAAAAGAAATTTTCGGATGTAACCCACATCCTTTCTCACGGTACATTGTTCTGAACATGATTGGACATATCTTATTTTATCATTTTAATCATGTTCAGACCATTGTATACAGTACCGTGAGAAAGGGTGTCGGATACATTCGAAAAATTGTTTTTTTTATACACGTACACATATAGTGTGTCTTTACTTCACCTTCATTATTATTATTATTATTATTATTATTATTATTATTATTATTATTATTATTATTATTATTATTATTATTATTTTTATTATTTTTATTATTTTTATTATTATTATTATTGTTATTTAATTAATAGAAAAGTTATGTTATTCATTTAAATATAATTTTGGATAACTAAAGTTTGTTTTAAATATAGTTACGTTTATCTTTATTACGTTTAGGTTCGTATATGTGTGTGTGTGTTTGTTTGTGTGTGCTCAGAATAGCGAGTGGGTGTAAGTTCTTTGGTGCCCTTGGATAACACAGTAGCCATGGCTGAACTATGGTTGTTACCAAGAGCGTCTTTAAGAAAGGGCAAAGTAATGAGTGCTCTTTAGATTTATATAATGAGGAATTCCATATATTATTTGCTAATTTTATTAAATTATTTTCCATTCTCTAAATATTTACGATATTCCAAGACCTATGAAAATGGTGTGTTCCTTTTAGTCTCGAGAAAAAAGTTGTACTGTATATCTTCATTGAAAAACCTAAATATAAAATCTTAACGCAAAAAACTTTGTTAAGGTTTGCCAATAAAATTGGTGGCTGTTAGTGGTAAAGCGATCTCCGTTGGTAAACAAATCTGGCCACACTCAGTGCTGTGGCGGCCCAGCTGATCGGGTTCTCAGAGGTCGGGCGACCTTTTCTTACCCAAAAATACTGATGTGACCGGGAAGTGGTTTTCCTCAAGAGTATTTTCCAAGATTTTTTCTTCAGACATATTTTCTTTATGCACATACTAATTATTCCGCCTTTTATTCATATATATTACATGTATGCACGTATTACATATTCACATATTTTTATATATATTTGCTTTTTTGCACGTGTGAAGTGACCCGGGACGCTGGTTTAGTTCTGCCGTCCTGCGCTAAATATTTTCTCCGAGAAAACAGTGTTGTATACTCGGCCTCTACGTTTAAAGTTCTTTATTTCACATAAAACAATATTATTCTTGATGGTTTAATAAGTTTATATTACCTGTTTGTGGCATGACGTATTTCTGTCTTAAAGTTCAGTCATTAATGATTAATCTTTGACGATAAAAGGATCACGAAATTGAAACTGTTGATACCAAATTTTCATCAACAGATATACGAGACTATAGATATATGTGACGCCTTAACCATTATAGATTTAAAGCGTAACGTTAATAAAATTAAAGCTTAGCGCTTATAAATTTGAAGTTAGCGCTAATAAATTTAAACTTTAACGCCAATAAATTTAAAGCTT